TAGATGTTCCATTAATGTTGATACTTGGAACAAAGGGGACAGTAGAGTATCATAAACTTGAGAGTCAGAAAAACCTACGTTCATATTTTGGTTCTACCACTTCCTGACTATATGACCTTTGCAAGTCACTCAGCTCAGTTCCTTCTCTGTGAAAGGGAGATGTTATTACTGCCTGTGTCACAGGGTTGATGTAGATGAAGTGGCCCATCGTTTAAATCAGGAAGCCTATGGAAAGCGCTTGGCACAGTGCCAAGCAGCTACTGAGCTAAACAACATTAAGACTGAATTAATGACCACAAGGACAGTAAGCATTCTAGTGGACTGGAATTGCCCATGCCTCCTAAAGTTATCACCTACAAACCGGGCCCAGATGCTCTGCCCTAGATCCCTGGAATGCAAGGATCCTAATGTGTTTGTACACAGACTATGGATATGGGGTGATAGATGGAGTAATACTCAAAAGCAGTTTGCTGACAAACCTCACCAGAAAGGGGTTAGAGGAAAAAGAGGCTGAATCAGAGCTGCATATGAATCATCTCTGTCTTGGAGTTATTTATTATTCTGTGAATTAGCCAGTTGGTCCCCATAACAATTTTAACGACCAAAAAACAAATGAACATCAGAAGAATGTGAGGTCCTCTCTCTTTAGAAAAAAATGGTGCCAACAGTCATTAAGGCAACTCCTTGAAAGGGAATTATTCGAGGGCATTGTCTTTCAAGGATAAATGTGTCCACCATGCTAAGTGCAAAAACCAAAGGATCTTTGCCAGAGCCCTATAACTGAGATTTCCAGTGAAGATGCCCTCATTACTGGGAATCCATTTCAAACAAACCAGGGAGATATTTGTTCATCCACTGTTTCAAGGATTTGAGGCAGAAACTAGAGAGCTATTTAATTGAAGAAATCGTAAGGTCAGACATGTCTTATTCTCACCTCTATATCCCCAAGATGGAGCACAGTCCCTGGTATACAGTAGATGCTCAATAAATGCCCATGACACCGTTGACCAACAGAAGAGAAGGTGCTGTGGCTTTCTCAGACTTCCAAAGGCACAGACACACAGTTCTGGAGCATGGTACTATTCCAAGCCCTTGTGCTGCACTGTGGGGCATATTGGAGACAGTAACCAATTGCATCATATTATATGCTTGGCGTAATTATACTGTTGGCTTTTGTCTCCTTTGGTGCCAGTCAGTCTCAAAACACATGCCGCTTCCTCGCTTTGCTTATGTAAAGTGCTAGGGTTGCCCACTCATTACAATTGAGATTTGTGAACTCTGTGTCCACATTCTGAGTCACGGCAGCCCAGAGGCTCATGCTTGGGAGACCCGGGATGGCTTTTCCCCAGAGAAGAAGTTCAACAATGGGCATTTGCGTCCTAGAAGAAAAAGAGGAAAGTAGCAGACACGGGCTGGCTGGGGCTAAATCTGATGGAAAATGGTGATCAAGTTTGCTTTTCATTTTTTAAAAAAGGAATTATCAAGCTGCTTTTTTCTCAATTTTAAAAAGGGAGTTTGATCTGTAGGGAGCTACAGATTCTCCCCCCTAAATCTCTTTCCCATCCATTTACTTTGTCTTTGCCACCATCCTCATCCCAGCCACCATCTCCCCTACCTGGATGACGGCAGTATTTTCCAAAGTTGTCTGTACATCCCACCGTGCTCCTTTCCATTTCCACATTGCTGCCAGAGTGCTCTTTTTAAAATGGAAAAATCGCTCTGAACCACTGCTGCTTATAACCATTCAACAGTTTCCTGTGTCTTTTAAGGGAAAAATTATAACCCTACACTTCACTTCTCAGGCTGGGCATGATCTCACCCTGCCTCTCTTGCCAGCCTCATTTTGTACTTCAGCAATTGAAGACATTGCCAATTGTCCCCTGGTATCCATTCTCCCTTGTGTTTAAACAAAACAAAACTGAGTTTCCCCAGGGCCCATGACTACCCAGCCAAGAACTACATTACTAGTCTTTCTGAGTTCTGGACAATAGAACACAAGAAGAAGTGAGGTTGTCCCTCAAAAGGAAATAAGCTTGCCCTCCATATCTCCTCCTCCTACTGGTTGGCATGCAGGCTAAGCACATAAGACCAGAGGAGGGTCCAAAGTATATCTCACAGGCCAAACCCAGCCTATCAATATTATGTCAGTAAAGTTAGATTGGGGGCGCCTGGGTGGCTCAGTTGGTTAAGAGACCGTCTTCGGCTCAGGTCATGATCCTGGAGTCCCGGGATCGAGTCCCGCATCGGGCTCCCTGCTCGGCGGGGAGTCTGCTTCTCCCTCTCCCACTCCCCGTTTGTGTTCCCTCTCTCACTGTGTCTTTCTCTGTCAAATAAATAAATAAAATCTTTAAAAAAAAAAAAAGTTAGATTGGAACATAGCCACATCAACTGACTTAGGCATTGTCTATGGCTGCTTTCATACCGCAACGTCAGAGTTGCGAAGTTGTGACAGAGACCATTTGACTTGCAAAGACAAATCTGGTCCTTGCCAATCTGGTCCTTCACAGAGGACTTTGCCAACCTGTGCCCTACAAGGAAACAGAACAACAAGATAGAAGAGGCCTAGCTTCACGACATTATATAGCTGGTCACATCATCTGAATCAGTGCATCTGGGCTGATAAACATAAAAAAATAAATCTGTCTTGTTTCAACCTTTGTATTAGGGCCTTCTGCTGAAGAGTCCTTCAACCTGAGCATTATTGACAGTTTGGGTAAGACAGTTCCTTGTTTTAGGATGCTGTGTTGGGCACTGTAGGGTGCTAAGCAGCATCCCCAGCATCGACCCACTAGATGCCAGTAGCATTCACTCCCCAAGTGTGACGGCTAGTAAGTATCTTCAGACGTTGCCAAATATCTGTTGAGGGATAGAATTACTCCTGGTTGAGAAGCACTGTATTAGAGCAACTTCATCAGCTATACCAAGCATCTCTCTCTTCTTAAACCTTCCAGAACCTCTCCCCCACTGCTAGGGACTGACTCACCATCACTGTTCTCTCGAGCAGAAATGTTCTGACCCACTCCTCACATAGTTATCTCCTACTTCACTTTCATGTGTCAGCTTCCCATCACTTTCTCAGGACCCTCCACTGATCCTCCCACTAACTAATGCTCTGATAGTCCCCTGTAGTTTTCCTAGGCAGCAATATTGTGCTTATTGATACACTGTTTACCATTCATAGACACACATAATAAATAAAGAGACGGTTGTTAACTGGCTTACTCCTGGGACGTTGTAATTTTGCAGGGAAAGCAAGGAACTAGAATTGGTAGAGGAGGCAAACATGAGTCTTGCCATGGTCCTAACTGGGGGAACTGGGTCCATATTGCTGGTTATAGGATAAGCAAGAAGCAGCCAGCGAAAAATGGGGTCTCCTTACTTCCCAGCCCCAGAATTCCCATAAACCAAGGGACCTGCCTTCCTTCCATAGCAGCTAAAACATCTGTTAAAGTTAGTCTGTTTCTGTATTTCACAGCAACATATGGATTTGTACTTTGCCTTTGGTTTTGCAATCACTTGCATGTTAACCCTGTACTTTTCGGCCTGCGAAGTTGTGTGTGATCTGATATATTAACCCTGCACTATACTCTTTTAAGTAAAGTTAAAGATAATCCCTACAATCGCATCTTAAATTCACATCCAGAGAATTCTTTCCTAGAATCCCTAAGACAGGTCACAGACCTTCTTGAGATGACCAGCTGGTGCCAGAACAGACAGTGATTGTGCTCTGCTAACTAGATCATGTGGGACTTGACCACTTTACCTTGATCTAAACATGTGAGGGAGCCCTAGGCAGACATCGTAAGGGACAGAGTATCTTTCTAGGAGCGCACGAGGGGAGCAACCCCCTCACATCTTGACACTTGCACTTCTCTCATGCCTCACTGTGTGGAAGCAAGCATCCACAAGCACATGTGTGCAAATTCATGTCCGTGCATCTATGCACCCCAAAATACCACCTGCACCCCACCCCCCGAACCTTTATATCTTACTCAAGAAATCTTTAGGCTTGCTCCTCTCTCTCTCCTCTCCCCTTCTCTGAAAGTTGTGTAGGGTCACGGATATATGGATGGAAGGCATACATAATGGCTAAGAAAAACCTTGAAATAGGAGAGGGCAGAACAAATTGTGAATCACATCAGAGTGAGGATGGGCTGGGGAGACAAGAATAAGAACAAAGTGTCACAATATCTCAAGATGTAAGTTATCAAACTAAGCAGAACTAAGCATCCAGGCATTTTATCCTTAGTTGGGTCATGATAATGATAGCTGCCATTTACTTTGCATTTACTCTGTGACAAAAGTTTAGCAAAGAATGTACAAATTACTGGGGCGCCTGGGTGGCTTAGTTGGTTAAGAGACCGTCTTCGGCTCAGGTCATGATCCTGGAGTCCCGGGATCGAGTCCTGCATCGGGCTCCCTGCTCGGCAGGGAGTCTGCTTCTCCCTCTGACCCTCCCCCCTCTCATGTGCTCTCTCTCATTCTCTTTCTCTCAAATAAATAAATAAAATCTTAAAAAAAAAAAAAGAATGTACAAATTACTTTAATCCTCATAACAACCCTCATGGGTAGATACTATTACCCCCATTTGATAGATGAGAAAACTGAGGGCCAGATTTGCCCAGGACTTCCTGTGGACCTGTGAATGACCAAGTAGAATTTCAAACTCCTGGGTGCTTCATGCCAGACCCTAACCTCACTGTGCTATAGAATGAGGTCCCAGGGATCCCACACAGTAGGAAGGCTGAAGAATCCTGAGGTAGCTGATGCTAGCTAGCACCCACCCCAAATCCATTCTCCCTATCCATGCCATGACGATACGGCTTGGACATGGCTGCCTAGCCAGCTGTCCCCCTTGGAACAGTGCTTGCATTGAGATGTACCACGTCACTCACATTCACTAATGCAGTGTGAGCGGAAGTGGCCTGTGTCACTTCTGAGCCAACATTTTTAAGAGGCAGGCATGCCTCCCCCATGTTCTTTTGTCCCCTTCCCTCTAGCTGGATTCACGAGGCAACCAACACTGATGGAGGACTGAACTTGGAGATGGAAGGAATCTGGGTCTCTCCATCACCACTTGGAACTGAGGGAAGCTGACGGGCAACACTCCCTTAGGACACTTTTGTAAGTAAGAAATAAACTTGTATCGTGATTATGCCCTCATAATTTTTAGGGCTTCTTCCTTACAGTCATCATATTATCTGAACTCATACAACTTCTTTCTTTGCTTTAAACAACAAAAATTGCCCCTTGCTGGTCTAATGAGATAAAACAACAACAACAACAACAACAAAAAAAACAAAGACCCCCGATAGCATGAGTCAATGGAAAATGAATCACAGTTCCATAAAATAAACATCTTCATAATTTGGAGACAAAATTCATTCAAACATGACTTATTAGACATGACTATTATTTAAAACTGTTTGTCCTCTATCCTTTTCCCTTCAAATGAAGTAAACATGGTTCGATGGAGAAAATGTGAATGCAGATGATGCTCATAATATTTCAAACTCTGAAAGGTGTTCTGATGATTAAATTATTTCAAATTAATAACAGGAGAAGAGAACAAAGTATTTACTGTAAAAAAAAAAAAAAATCATTAGCTTCTTTTTCCTTTGGCCTGGAATTGTTTCTCTCATTTTCTTCAGTCACACTTTATTCAGTTGAGTGTCTGACTTTCTGAGCCAGCTTGTCTTTTATGAATTTTCCAGGTGGTTTGAAACCCAGAGTAATTAAGTGACTTCTGCAAGGTTACATACAAAGAGCTGCAGCCTCCCATCTGAAGCCTCCTTTTTCCGCTTCTGGGCTTCCCTCCTCTGCATATACCCCCCCAACCTCCATGCAGAAAACCAAGCAGACATTAGGTCTTTTTCTTGGGAAACAAGCATAAAAACCTCTTTTAACCTTAAAATTAACTTACTTACTTACCATTCCTAAGCTCTTGCATTTTCAAAGTTTGGGAATCCATCTTTGATGTGCCAATTCCTGAAAGCATAAAGATGAACTCTCTTTGCTGAAGTTGGTGCCTGTGGAATATTCCCAGACACGTGGAAATAAACTCTCTGCTTCTCTTTCAGCTCTGTATCCCGTGCTTTAGCGGAGAAAGGGAAAGTGCATGGAATTAAAACGCAGACATGGCACCCAGTTACAGCCCCCTGTGGTTCTAGCTTTATGCTTTTGTATGACAGGCTCAGAAGAGAGACAATAGCTAGTACATGAGCTTAATTACTTTGTGTGCACCACTTGCAAGCTGCAGTCTGGACCTGGGTTTGATTTAGTGCTTTTGAATAGAACAGAGAGAGGACCGTTAAGGCTTATTACCGCAATTGTGGTTTCCAAGCTTCATATCCACACAGAGGCTGGGTCAGGCTCCATTTTTTGGAGCTACAAATAGTTCCCCTAGCTCCTCACCCTTTCCTGCTAAGCTTAAAAATGGGTCTGTGAGCTTTGTCTTATAAACTTATCCCTTACGACACTTACATTTAAAGGTTTCTTATTAGGGCCCAGGTCCCCGACCCTGATAGAATTCTCAGCCACTGGCCGTGGGGTCAAGGGAAAGCTGTAATGTTGACCTTATACAATGTCATGTCACCCTGTTCCTTTTATACTCCTGAGACTGACCATTTCCTTAACAGTCACCCTTGTATCTCTGACTTCCCTTACATCTACCCACTTATAGCCTTACTTCGGAGGGTAGGAATTTGACCTTTTGATTTTTACCTCTTAATTTTGAGGTCATCCTTCAATGGCCCACCCTCAACCCTGCCCATGATTGCCTTTAGGGTTTGGCACATAAGGTCACCCACTAAAGGTAAGTCAACTTTTAGGTTGATTGTCTGATGGGACAAATGGACATATTAGATGTCTATATGTAGTCAGTGTGTTTTGGAGACAGAAGCAATCTCTAAGCATGGATGTTGTTTTTCCTGGTCCAGCACTGGCATCCTCTTCTGAAAGTGGTCCTCTGATTTTCCCTCTGAGGTACTGTACACCCCCTGTTTTCAGGGCAACGTGTAATGCACATCTCTTGGATTCAGGGATGGGCATGGAACCCAGCCTGGCCAATCAGCATATTCTGGGCATAGTGACTGGCAGAAGGTGGACACATGATCCAAGTGTCGTAGACTGAGTGTTTGTGTACCCCTCCCCTGAAATTCATATATGTGATAGTTTTAGGATGTAGGGGGTTTGGAAGATGATTAGGTCATAAGGGCAGAGCCCCTATGGGTGGGATTGTGCCATTATAAAAGAGGCCCCACAGAGCTCCCTTGCCCCTTCCACAATATGAGGTGATAGCAAAAGGATGGTCATCCAGGAAGTGGGCCCTGGTCAGACACCAAATCTGCCTGTGCCATGATCTTGGACTTCCCAGTCTGCAGAAATGTGAGAAGTCAATGTTGTTTATGGGTCACCCAGTCTGTGGTATTTGTTGTAGGAGCCCAAATAGACTAGGACATTGAGGTGGTACAGTCAGAAGAAATACATTAATTTTTCTATGATTATTGCAATGGATACACTCTCTTTGGCCTGGGATGAAGGCAACATGGAGGAAAAGAGATCTAAGAAATAATGTGTGACAGTGTCCTGGTGATGCATATGACCTCCTCCATCTGTGCCTGAAAACATACTGATTCTTGCCCTTAAGCACGTTTGAACCAATAATTCCTTTTTTGCTTAATATAAGTTGGGCCGGCTTTCTATCATGGATGACCAGGAGAGTTGAAAGTAAGTTAAAATAAGGCCAAAGTGACTATGTCCAATGATTTGCAACATGTGAGCTATGGAGTTTTAAGTAATAAAATGGCTAAGATGCACTGGGTTCCTTTCTTTAGTCTTTCTCTATTGCCTCACTCGCTCATAGGACTCGAAATATCTTTTGCACGACGCTGTCCAGTTTCTCCTGGGTGCCCCACACTACCCACCTTATTTCCTGGTGTACTTCCTGCAATACTCAGAAACATCTCAAATGGTCATTTCCAAAATCAAATTCTTGATTGCTCCTCCCAATCAATGATCTTTTCTTGATCACCCTCACGTCAGTAGAGACCGTCATCATCTAGTCAGTTGGCCAAGCCAGAAACTGGAGACAGAGCTGTGCCTCCTCCTTCTTCCTCACCTCCCGCGTTCAGGCCCATAGGATGTCCTCTCTGGGGGCACCTGGGTGGCTCAGTCGTTAAGCGTCTGCCTTCGGCTCAGGTCATGGTCCCAGGGTCCTGGGATTGAGCCCCACATCGGGCTCTCTGCTCCTCGGGAAGCCTGCTTCTCCCTCTGCCACTCCCCCTGCTTGTGTTCCCTCTCTCGCTGTGTCTCTCTCTGTCAAATAAATAAATAAAATCTTTAAAAAAAAAAAAGGATGTCCTCTCTGTTCTACCTCTTAGATGAATTGCAAATCAGCAGACTTCTCTCCATCTCTGCTGCCCCCACTCCAGTTCAAGGGTCTTCAGCTCTGTCTGGGGATACCAGAGCAACCTAAGTCTATTTTCTGATTCTTTCACAGTCATTTTCAAATCCCTGCTCTACACAACAGCCATCACAAGTCGACTTAATTGTATCACACATACCCCTGCCTAAAACACTCCACTTCGCATGAGACGCAGAACTAGCATCTCACCATCTGACCCCCACCTAATGTCCTTGTGTACCAACTCACTTACCACATACCCATCCCTATAAGGCTTTTCTTGCTTTCCTGGACACGGACTGGCCACTTCAGGGTAAGTTCCTGTTGATGCTCCTTTTACTAAGCTTGCTCACTCTTCCTCAGGTCTTCATAGAACATTAACCTTTTTGTCCTGCAATTCCCAGCCTGAATTATCAAGTTGTTCCATGCACAAGTCCTTCTCCATCTCAACACTCCATTTGCTTCCTTTATATGCTTCCACATTTTGAAAATACTTATCGGCTTACTTACATACTATCTGTCTTAACACTCGACCAAACTCTGTAAGGGCACATGGTGAGCACCTGATAAATATAACTGGATGAAAGTTCTGTGAATCCATGTGCAGACAAGCCATGTTCTCCAGACAGACATAACACATGTTGCACATACACGGGCTCTTCATCAAATGTTTGCACATGTTATTGTGTGTATCCAAGCACAAGTACCTTTACAACATTAGTGAGTTCAGATTGGCTTTTTTGGTCTTTAGGTATTTTCTTTTTTTTTTTTTTAAGATTTTTATTTATTTATTTCTTCATTTGAGACACAGAGAGACAGAGAGAGAGAGAGAGCATGAGCAGGGGGAGAGGCAGAGGGAGAGGGAGAAGCAAACTCCCTGCCAAGCCAAGAGCCCGATGTGGGGCTTAATGCCAGGACCCTGGGATCATGACCTGAGCTGAAGGCAGACGCTTAACCATCTGAGCCACCCAGGCGTCCCTAGGTCCCAGTCCCTAGGAACTGACAATTTCCCCAGTTCCACCTCCACACCACCAGACCCTGGCAATCTGTACAGGCTGATTCCCTAGCAATCCCCCACACTCTTTTTTTTTTTTAAGATTTTATTTATTTATTTGAGACAGAGAGAATGAGAGAGAGCATGAGAGGGAGGAGGGTCAGAGGGAGAAGCAGACTCCCTGCCGAGCAGGGAGCCCGATGCGGGACTCGATCCAGGGACTCCAGGATCATGACCTGAGCCGAAGGCAGTCGCTTAACCAACTGAGCCACCCAGGCGCCCTCCCACACTCTTTTTTTAACGTTAAAAATTGATCCTCATTAGGGTTTTCATGGTGCAAAGTTCTAATTTGGGGGATGCTGAAAATGAGGAGATGCATTCTCAGGAAATGAAAAATTATAAATTTGGTGAGAAAGTATAATAGACCATCAACCTGAATGGAAGCTACACATTGTTTCAACACTAATTCAGTTATACCACTCCCCACTGCCTTCAGCAGGTTATGTGACTTATTCAAAGATGATTCATAGGAAAAAGATCCACATGGAGCTTACATATAAAAACTGGAAAAATAAAAAAATAATATAAACAAGAAAAACTGGATTATGTACATATGTATCCCTATGTAAAGAGAAGATGAAATACACAAAAGATGACAGAAACAACCTCCAAGGAATTATATACAATATAATCTAAGAAAATATTTCAAATAAGAGATATGAAGATTCCAAAAAGAGGTGTTAAGACAATCAAGACAATAGAAGGTGGGGCGCTTGGGTGACTCAGTTGGTTAAGCATCTGCCTTCAGCTCAGGGCTCAAGGGCTCAGGTCATGATCCCAAGGTCTTGAGATTGAGCCTCGCTCTACAGCCTCCTAGGGTTCCCTGCTCAACAGGAAGTCGGCTTCTCCCTCTCCTTTTGCTCCTCCCTCCCGCTTGTGCACCCTCTCTGTTTGACCATCTTCAGGATTGTCTTTTAATTCATAATGTTTCTTCTTACCTCTTACTCTTCATTCCTCCCTCCTTCCTTCCTTTCATTTCCTCCATTTTTCCTGCCTTTCTGCTGTCCTGTCTTCCTTTTCTTCTTATACACATAGAGAAATATTGAATGTAATTATCACCAAATGTTAAAATGGTTATTTCTGGGAATTTTGAGTGATGTGGAGGTATAATTTTTAAAATTTGTATAACTCTATTAACTTATATACCTCAAAATTATCTTTTTAAATGTGGGCTGGGTCTCCATCATTAAAAATATTGTGAACCATTGGCTTAGTCCTACATTCTCATCTCACACACAAGGAAATTGACACCCTACAGCATAGCATGAGGTACAGCATCGAGGGGAGGGGACTGAAGAACAGTCCTGGGGCTACTTTGGGCAGTCCAAACCATGAATAATGCCCATGGTGTTAAGGCTGGTTTGTTAAGAGTTAGTCTAATGGCTGGCCACTGCTAATAAATGCATTTCCTCTCCCAGTTAACAGTAGACATGGAGCCAAAGCAAAACACCTGAGCTTCTCCAGAGGACCCTTCAAGACTAGGGCAAATGCTGACTATTTCAGACAAAGGGACAGGCCAGAGAAATGGTAGGTATTTTTGTTAAGTACCTATTGGCAGCCATGAGTTTGACCTCAAATATCACCATCTGCTCTGTTTGCAAAGACAATCAACCCAATTTTTGAATTCTATCTTTTCAAATGAAGGGTGGCTATCAGGATCTCTTTCCGGAGCACATTTCCTCAGCTTTTTGCTTTTCTCCTCACTACTCACCCTTAGTTCTCAATTTAAAAGTCCCCTCCTCAGCAGGCTTTCTCTGATCTAAAGAGAGTCACTTCTGAGGTTCCCTTTCCCATGTCCTTGTTTATTTTATTCAGAGTGATTACGGCCATTATAATTAGTTTCTTTTCCCTTGTTCATCCTCCTGCTAAAAGTTAAGCTCCATGAGAGCTCACTGGGTATCT